TCAGAATCCCCCGCGGGTAGGCAGGATCCAGCTGGAGCCAGAATCCTGAATCCCTGAGCCCCCTGGACTCAAACTCCTTTACAAAGCCTGTATCCTGCCCCCTCTTCTGCACCCCAACTCCCTGCCCCAGGCTCAGCTCAGAGCCCCTCGCACCCCCCAAACCAAGACCCAAGACCAGAGCCTGTGCCCAGCCCTCTGCCCCTGCCTGGTGAAAAGGAGGGAGGATGGGGGAGGAGGGAGGACAGAGTGAGCAGGGGCGGGGCCTCAGAAAAGGGGCAGGAAGGAGGCGGGGCCAGGGGATTTGCGTCGAGGTAGAGCCTGGATTGCACTTCAATTCCAAAAGTGATCTCGTGCTTAAAAAGGCTGGAGACACCCTGACAGGCATCTGTGCAACCTGCTCTTAAATCTCTCCAGGGATGGGGATCCCACGACCTCCCCAGGCAATTTATTCCAGTGTTTCACCACCCGGACAGGCAGGAAGTTTCTCCTAATATCCAAGCGAAGGGCTCCCTCTCATCTCTAACATCCTTTCCCGGCAGTGCAGCCAGCACTGGGGGACACTGGGGTCCCTATTGCCCCATTGCTTCTAACGTCATCTGGGAGGCAGAACGGTCTAGTGGATAGGGTTTGGCTTTGCCCTCAGGAAACTACGTTTTCGTGCCAATGCCCGGCTGGGCGACTCGTGCCTCAGTTTCCCCACGTCTCAACCAGGGATCATTCTACCGGCCTCCTTTGCAAAGCCCTGAGAGGTTTTATTGTTGCAGAGCAACACCTCCTGGGTGTGGTGCACTGGGCCGGTGTGTAGCATGGAGGCCAGGTACTGAGAGAACAAGGAGAGCCTTTATGGAGCTGTTAGCTCCCGGGGTAGCGTTCCTGCGCTGAGTCTGCCCACGCGACGGAGAATCAGCTGTGTTCTCTGAGTCAGTCAGTCACGGGTGCGGGGGCTGGGATGTGAAATGCCAATTTGCTGCTTTCCGGGTGGATGCTGAGGCTCCGCCTCTTTCTTTTCCGTGGGTGCTCCGGCCCAGGAATGGAACGCCGAGGCCCACTCCTTGGAGAGCTGCCTGCTCCGGGCGCCTTGGAGCAAGGCCGACCGGGGGGCTGGAACGCACCTATTGCGCTACCACACCAGAGGGGAGACCCGGGTAGCGGTGCTGGAGGAGTCCCTGCAGATCCCAGCTGGAGACACAGATACGCCCTGCTGCCCAGGGTCTGTAATTTCATCCCTGCGGAGCTATTCTTTGGATGCGGATCTGCCTTAATCCCCTTGCTTTGAATCTCGCTAAGCTATTTCCCTGAACAACATCCTGCTAAACAAATGACACCAGCAACACCTACCCGGTGCTAAGAGACCCATCCGCATGGCCAGGGCTGGCCCGGACCAGCTACAGAATTTCAGTGTCGACTTTGAATTCGCAGACCGCCGGAAGGTCTCAGACCCGCAGCTCCAACCCAAGACCGACCCTCTCCCCTGCAGTTCTCAATTCTGGGAGTCACCATTAGCTGATCCAGGCTTGAGAATTGGGGCCGTGAGTTTTTTAGCACAGGGCAGAGGTAGATGGTTCTACTTTCTGGGCCAGAATTTGATCTCACGGAGGGTGGCGTAAACCTGGGATGACCCCAGAGAAATCAATGGGCCGAATTCTGCTCCTGCTGTCCGATGGAAATCAGGAACGATGCCCCAGCACAGCAGAACACCTAAGCCTGTGCTTAACCTTAAGCACATGCTCAAGAGCAAGGAAACACCCATCAAACGCATTCGGCCCATCGCGCATGCTCCCAGTACTTTGCTGAATCGGGGCCTAACCAGGTCGCCATCAGTGGACTTAGCCTGATGTACCATCAGTGAGAGGAGAAATGAGATGTAACGGAGTTAAAAGTTTACACCAGCCTGAGACCAGAACCTGGCCCTGCGATGGTGTAGAAGCTTATAACCCCTGGCATTCCCTTGTGGAGAAAGTGGGCACCTTGAGATTCAAAAATGTTGGCAAATGCAAAAATCAAGCAAACAGTCATCCGGGGTGAAACGAAATGTTCTGTTTCCACCCAGTAAAACCCTTTGTTTTCATGTCGACCCATTTTACACAGTTTTGGGCCCGGAAAACACAAAGGCTGCATCTAGACTGGCAAGTTTTTCCGCAAAAGCAGCTGCTTTTGCGGAAAAACTTGCCAGCTGTCGGCACTGGCTGCTTGAATTTCTACAAGAACACTGACTTCCTACTGTCTGAAATCAGTGCTTCTTGCGGAAATGCTATGCTAGTCTAGATGTAGCCAAAATGAAAGGAAATTTTGGAACAAAAAGTCGTTTGAAATGGAAAACTTCCCAAGTGAATTCTGTCGGTGGTTTCAGAATTCTGGGGGCTTTTTCAGCACCACGAACACAAATTCACCTGATGTTTTGGGGGTGCTGAAGCTGCGTTTTCCACCAGAAAGAAAGTATTGGGCGGAACAATTTCACCCAGCCCCACAATTGCACACACTTAAATATCTGCTCTTATTGTTCCTTCTTACTTGCTCCCGTATGGTTTTCTTTAATTCCAGCACCTCTCGAAGTCCATTCAATTTCACTTCCAGCTCGATTCTGTGTATGGTACTGGCGTCTAAATCCTGTGGGACAAAGAAGACATACGGGTGCTATTCACAAATGATCAGTACTTGGGGTAAGGCATCTTCCCCGTCATACACCGCTTACCCGGGAGAAAGCAGTGTCCCAAGGGGATGCTATCCATCCATTCTGCAGTATGGTGAGCCACCCAGGAGAGACCCAGCCAGCAGCCCTGTGTTTTTCCTGGGGGTGCACATCTGCCTATGCCTCGGTGCACAGAACAAACTTTATTCTGCACGTGGGTGGAAAAACGGAGAGGGAACATTGATGGTGGGAGTTGCTTCTGGCATGGAGGCTAGAGATAGCATCCCTGCCCATCCTGGCTAAGAGCCATTCCATAGAAGGCAACAAGAAGGACTGGCCCATAAACGGGACTGGCCCCATGTAACAGTCATCTTTCAATCACAAGGAAAAGCAGAGATGATTGAGAACTCTGATGCAATGAACCAGTGCAGCACAAACGGCACCTACCAGGATATTAGCCCATGCGGGGGTAGCTTGTAATTAACCAGCATGATTATTTATGGAGCATTCCTGACTGCTCATAACACCCTGTCTTTCCTTGCCAGAGATTCCAAACCCCATACACATGACAGATGAGGTTTGCTAGCTCATTGTATCTGCAGCTGCCTCTGGGGTGGAACACGGCAGCTGTTGAACCAGGCCCGACAGCACTACACTTCACAGGGAGCGAAGGAGAATGTGGTCTGCCACTGGTTCTCAACCTTTACCATACCTTGTGTAGAGAAATGTGACCTTGTGTAGAGAAATGTTTCTGGATGCCCCGATAGGAGGGTGATCCAGTGGAAACCCCCTTACGACCAGTGTTCCCTGTAAGTCGGGTGTTTGGAGGCCTCTCAGGAGAGGTTTAAATGATCCCCAGGGGCTTAGCAGAGCACCCACAGCTCGGTTTTTGTTTTTACTGGTGGTGCACATTCACACATACCTCGGTGCACATAAAATTATTCCACACTTGGACGGAAAAGATTAGAGGGAACATTGCTTGCAAGCCTATTGGATCATGGCCTCCCAGGCTGAGACCCGATAGCATCTACAACTGAAACCTGGGCTGTGTGATTTGCTACTGCTGGTCTTTTTATGCTGTAGCTCAGGGTTCTGAAAGGTGGTTGCTCCAGGTGCAGGGATGGTGTATCTCAAGGTATAGGAAGGGGATAGCTCAAGGTGCAGGGATGGTGTAGCTAAGGGTATAGGAGGGAGGTAGCTCAAGGTGCAGGAAGGGGTTGTCAGGGTTCAGGGATGGTGTAGCTGAGGGTGTAGGAAGGGGGGTGTATCTCAGGCTGCAGTGACAGTGTAGCTCTGGGTGTGGGTGCAGGAAGGGGTTGTCAGGGTTCAGAGATGGTGTAGCTGAGGGTGCAGGAAGTGTCAGGGTGCAGGGGTGGTGTATCTCAGGGTGCAGTGACAGTGTAGCTCAGGGTGTAGGAAGAGGGTAGCCCAGGGTGTAGGAAGGAGATGTCAGGGTACAATAATGATGTAGCTCAGGGTGTAGGAAGGTGTCAGGGTGCAGAACGGTATAGCTCACGCTCAGGGCGTAGGAAGGTGTCAGGGTGCAGTGATGGTATAGCTCAGGGCATAGGAAGGAGGTGTCAGGGTGCAATGATGGTGTAGCTCAGGGCGTAGGAAGGTGTCAGGGTGCAGTGATGGTATAGATCAGGGCATAGGAAGGTGTCAAGGTGCAGTGATGGTGTAACTCAGGGTGTAGGAAGGAGGTGTCAGGGTGCAGTGATGGTGTAGCTCAGGGTGTAGGAAGGAGGTGTCAGAGTACAGTGACGGTATAGATCAGGGTGTAGGAAGGTATCAGGGTGCAGTGATGGTGTAACTCAGGGTGTAGGAAGGAGGTGTCAGGGTGCAGTGATGGTGTAGCTCAGGGTATAGGAAGGTGTCAAGGTGCAGTGACGGTGTAGCTCAGGGTGTAGGAAGGAGGTGTCAGGGTGCAGTGACGGTATAGCTCAGAGTATAGGAAGGAGGTGTCAGGGGGCAGTGACGGTGTACCTCAGGGTTCAGGGATGGTGTCGCTCAGGGTGTAGGAAGGGGTGTCAGGGTGCAGGGATGCTGTAGCTCAGAGGGTAGAAGTACTAGGGCTGTGTGCAAGGAAGTCAGTGCTGAGGAGACAGTGGATAGCCCCGTACCTTTTTCAGCTCCATGAAGGTGAATTCCAGGCCGCTGCGTTTCTGTATTTCATCCTCGTACCTATGGAGAGAGAAGAGATTGTAAGGGACCCCCCCATCGCTGATCCGACAGGAGGGAACTTAATAGTGCTAACGGGCCTATATAAATCTACGGGACGCCCACACCTTGAATCCTGCGGGCAGACGTGGCCGCCTCCTCTCCAAAAAGATCTCTTGGCATCGGAAAAGGTTCCAAAAAGGGCAACAAAAATGATGAGAGGTTTGTCACGGGTGCCATAGGAAGAGAGATTAAAAAGACGGGGACTTTTCAGCTTAGAAAAGAGGAGACGAAGGAGGGATAGGATCGAGGTCTATACAATCGTGACTGGTGTGGAGAAAGCGAAAAAGGAAACGCTATTTATTTGTCCCGATAACATGAGACCTAGAGGTCACGAGAAATGAAATGAATAGGTAGCAGATTTAAGACAAAGAAAAGGAAGTTTTTCTTTACGTGGCGCATCATTAACCTGTGGAACTCCTTGCCAGAGGATGTGGTGAAGACCAAGACTTTAACAGGGTTCAAAAAAGAGCTAGATAAATTCATGGAGGTTAGGTCCATCAATGGCTATTAGCCAGGATGGGCAGGAACGATGTCCCCAGCCTCAGTTTGTGAGAAACTGGGAATGGGTGACAGGGGAGGGATCACTTGATGATTCCCTGTTCCCTCCCTCTGGGGCACCTGGCGTTGTAAAGGGGCAAGTAAAGGAAACGATGGCTCCTTCCTAAAAAGTTTACAAAAGACTAATCGGTGCCTAAGAGATGTTTTAAGACATGGCTCATCCATTAGTATGGAGCCCAAAAGGCTGCTCAGACGCTCGGCTCATAACCCTCTACAGCACCTCAACTTAAAATCTTCCAGAGCACGCGGTGCTCTCCCTTGTAATGTGCTTATGGCCTCTATTTACCCGTTAGGAGCTGCTTATAAAAGGAGCCTTCTTATAAGATCCAGCTAGGCTGGTCTGGACCCCAAGGGAGCGTAGCTTTAGGGCAATCTAGACAACTCTGCCTGGTAACAGAGAAAGGTACTGCTGTTCTTGGTAACTAATCATTCACAGCCTCCTTCGTACTGCGGTTCCAGCTCTCTGTGCTCGGAGCTGTACAAACACAGAAGATGGTTCCTGCCGCAGATGGATTAAAATAGTCCAGGTTTAGGGGACAGGCCTAAGAGATGGGAAAAGGGGGTGGGGGACCCAAACAACAACAGATGAAGCCATTGTTTCTGCCGCACCCTGGTATTTCACTGTTTCATAAGCCCTGACCGGGAGGCTAGTGCAGAAATGTCAGTTCTTCTGGTTTTTCTGCTCTTGAATCGGAATGTCTGAATTGCTGCCAGCGTATACGTGTGGTTCGTAATTACAGCCTGCATCTCTCCCGCACCATCCTCCCCCGGCCCCTGATGAGAACACTTCTCGCATGGTAAAGCACTGACGTAATGTTACCTGCGGAGCCAACAACACACCTGATTGGACGGCAGCTGAGCTTGTCCACGACCCACGCTTTACCTGCGGAGCCAACAACACACCTGATGGGACCGCAGCTGGGCTTGTCCACGACCCACGCTCCTGCCCCCACTTTATCCAGCAGAAAGAAGCTTGCAGGTACGGAGGATCTGAGCTCATGGAGGTGACTCACGTCTCCATCGGGCAATGTGGCGATATTTCCAAACTGAATTCTTTCGTGGGGGGGGACTGTCTTTTGGTCCCTGGAACGTTTCAACGTTCGATTCCAAAATCAGGCCCAAACGAGAGGCCGGCACCTCCGATTTTCCTAGCATTTCTGTTTGCAAACTGCTCCAACCTCAGGGAACTGAGATTCTCGTCCTGGTTCCGCTGGTGTTTTGCGGTACCTCGCGGTGGCGGAGTGTGTCTGTCTGTCCCATGGAGACGGTGATATTTACCCACCTCTGCAAAGATTTACCATCTCTGCCCTGAGAGTTCTGGTAAAAGGTAAACATTATAACAGTGCCCTGGGAAAATATGAGCAAAAGAATGACATTTCCTAAGTGCTTGAGAAAAGGCCTTCTTCACCAAATCAAATGCTGGTTGAAGAGTAAAGGAAAAACCCAGCATTTGAGGCTAGATCCGGCGTGAATCATCTGGGACGTGCATTTATTCTCACCGGCCGAGGAGCTGGTCACAACTATTTGCACGATTCCGGTCATTTGAGGCTCTTTTCACGATTGTCACATCATGCCCCACATTTTTAGGTCAGTGGTTTGTTTGGTCTGAAAATTTGCCCTGCCCAGCACATCCGCTGTTAATTCATTCATCAGGTCCATGAACCTTTCAAATGGAGAAGCAATTCTAGCTAAGCAAGATGCCCAGTGCACGGTGCGAAAATGGTTTGTTCACAGTAGTGACTGAAAAGGTGCAAATAACCAGGGTGTTCAATGACCATAAGGTTTGGGGAGGATCTGTCCATCGATGAAGAGGCTGAATTCAGAGAGGCGTGATGTTAATTCGTGTGGGCTTCGATTCCATGGCATTTACATAATTACAGCCATGTAAATAATAGTAGAGAGGTAGCCGTGTTAGTCTGATCTTGCTAAAACTTTCCTTTGGTAGATATGGTCATGCCATTTCTCTTTCAGAATATGATCTGAGGACGTGGGTCTGGCCCACGAAAGCTCATCACCAGTTAAACCATCTTGTTAGTCTTTAAAGTGCTACATAGTTTTTCCTTTTGTTTACGTAAATAATACTAATTTTGACATTGATGCTCTTCTCCAGAACTTATCAATCGATCTCAGAATGCTTCACAAGGGAGGTTAGCATTGTTACCCCCATGGTACAGATGGAGAATTGTAAGCAAGAGAGGTGAAGTAACTTGACCAAGGTTATCCAATAAGCCAGTGGCAGAGCTCAGAATGAAAACTAGGTCTGCTGGCTCCCAGTCCAGTGCTGTAACCACTAGATAGCACTATCTTGACTGCCAAAGTGATGCAAAAGGTATAAGACTCAGGACCATCACAAATATTAGATCTGATTCTTCTGTTTGCACCAGTGTACATCAGAAATGACTCAGCGGCAGTTCATGCAGTTACACTGGTGTAAAATTAGTGTCAGTGAAAGGAGAAACCAGCTCATTAATAGTAAAACCGCCGTGACTGGACAATGCAGTGGATAACCCAGAGGTACAGCCTGAGCGAACATGCCAGACGGGGACACATTTCAGAGGGGGCTCAGAGAACTCTGCCCTGGAATGAACAACGCATGCCTGACCTTGTCAAAAGACGATCACTTGCTTGTGCAAATCGGGGGCTTGCATCTGTGGAAACCCCAGGTCTGCCCATGCCAGTGTAACCCACACACCTAGAGTTTATGTCCCATGGAAGGGTAGCGCTTCAACCACGTACAGCGAGAGATAGGAACCATGCCAGTGTAACCCACACACCTAGAGGTTATGTCCCATGGAGGGGTAGCGCTTCGACCACGTACAGCGAGAGATAGGAATGAGGGAGCTCTGCAGCAGAAGCTGGGAGCCAGCTGGCTTTATCGATCAAGCTGCAGCGGCTCCTCCAGAGGTCCCCGGTTCAAATCCGCCCGGTGGTGGTTACGCTGACACAATGTGGCATGTGGGCAGCTGCGCACGACACATGCACAAGGCAAGCCCGTGCATCCGTGTGCTTGGGCAGGTGCAAAGAGCTGCATATTGGAGACCCCCTTCTGTAGATTTGGCTCAGTGTTGGCGATTCAATGGGAGAGGCGGACACGACCCTGGGACCTCGGGAGCGTCGCGCCTGAGCAAAAAGCCAGCTGGATCTCGGAGAAGGCTCCTTGTCGGATGGGTTCTCCCTGCCCCTATCGGGGACAGCGAACCGCGCCCAGCAAGCAAGCCTGTGGGTTACACGGAGTGAGGCTCCGGCAATGGGAACAGATTCCACTCGTTGTGCAATGCTGAATGGGAAACCGGCCGAATTAAGATGCAGATGTGGTGATAAAAAGAGAACAACAAAACGAGGCCTCCTCTGTGCCAACACTGCCACTGATTTGCTGCCAGACTTCCCACCCTCACCCCTCCTAAACGGTTTCCCTGGGGAAGGGGCCTCTCAGCCGGTTTACGAAAGCTCCCACGCTTTGCATGGCTGCAGGCAATGGTCAATTGCACCAGAAAACCTATCCCGTCCACTGGGCACCCTCCTTGCAAGAGGCTGCTTGCACTGAATTGACTCAATTCCCACCTTGCCCGGATTTGCCGACAGCAACTTGCAGCCAAGTGCAGACCCCTCCCCTCCCCGGCATGGTGCAGTGCAGAAATTAGATGTGGCTATTAATATCAACACACGCAGAGGGGTGGGGTTTATCGACCTCCTCCCTCCCCCCAATCGCTGCCTACGTACGAAGTCCTAATGTGGCAAATGAAGGAGCTAGAAGAGTCAGGCATTAAAAGCAGTGGGGGTGACGTGCTTTTCTAGGTAATGCGCGAGGAACCGACACTCGGCACGGTTGGCGGCTAATTGATGCTCTCTCCTCTTTGGTCTGGGACCACTAAGTAAGCAAAGAGGCACTCGGTAAACTTTACGGGGCTGGCCCTTTTGTGCAGGGTCAAAGGGGATGGCAGATTGCAAACTTTTGGGCCGGGACCCTGTTTTTTGTGCTATCTATCTGCAGTACCAATCATGATGGGGAGCCAGTCCCTGTCTGGGGCCCCTTACAATTAGTGTAATCATAAGAACATAAGAGCGGACAGACGGTCAGACCAAAGGTGCTGTCTTCCTACAGTGGCCAGTGCCAGATGCCCCGGAGATAGTGAACAGAATAGGGAATCATCAAGAGATCCCTTCCTATACCTATTCCCAGCTCCTGAAAGAGGCTCAGAACACCAATCCTGCCCGACCTGGCTAATAGCCACTGATGGACCTAACCTCCATGAATGTATCTAGCTCTTTTTTGAACCCTGTTAAAGTTCTGGTCTTCACAACATCCTCTGGCGAGGAGTTCCACAGGTTAACTGTGCACTGTGTGAAGAAACACTTTTGTTTGTTTTAAACCTGCCACCTATTAATTTCATTGGGGGACCCCTGGCTCTTCTGTGATGGGAACAAGTAAATAACTTTTCCTGAGTCACTTTCTCCACACCTTTCATGATTTTATAGACCTCAATCCTATCCCCTCCCCTTCGTCTCCTCTTTTCTAAGTGGAAAACTGCCAGTCTTTCTAAAATGTCTTCCTATGAGACCTGTTCCAAACCGCTCATCATTTTTGTTGCCCTTTTCTGAACCTTTTCAACGCCGAGAGATCTTTTTTGAGATGAGGCGACCACCTCTGTACTCAGTATTCAAGATGTGGGTGTCCCATGAATTTATGCAGAGGTGAGAAGATATTCTCTGTCTTACCCTCATCCCTGTTTTTTCACCATCAGGAATTTTCACATTTTTCCTCGGGGCCATTTATGACATGCAAATTCCTAGAAAACAAACTAGAATCCGTTCAAGATTAGACCGGGCATTCGGGGCTGTTGCCCAATGAAGCATGAGGACAGCAGAAGCACCAGTTAAACCTCCGGTCCGTACCAGGCTGGGTTCTCGTCCTGTCCCTACCACCGATTTGCCTTGGGCAAATCATTTTAACTGCTCTGCGCTCCAGTTACTGAAGCAGTAAACCCGAGATGGTAATGCTTCCTTAATTGGTTGCAAAGCTCCTTTAATCCATGTGGGCCAAGGGCTTGGAGATCCTTGAGGGAACAGGTCTGGAGAGGCCGACGTGTTATTATTGATGTGTCACAGTAGATTCCTTGAGGGTTTGAACCTACGAGTTTCTGTGCTCAGTGCTTAGCCGTCCTGGGCCCCTTCTCCCACTCCGGAAGGCCAATACGCAGCCTACTGAAGTGCCATCTAAGCCTTCAGAGAATTATCTGCAGAATCCAAGATCTGGAAGGGACCTTGAGAAGTCAAGTCCAGTCCCCGGCCCTCACAGCAGGACCAAGCACCATCTAGATCATCCCTGACAGGCGTCTGTCCAACCTGCGCTTAAATTATCTCCAGCGATGGAGAGTCCACAGCCTCCCTAGCTGCCCATGTGCCTTTCACAGAGCCTCCTCCTCCTCTTTCTAACCCATAGCCAGTCTGACATTGTCGGGTGGAAAGTGTCTTCCACAGAAAGCGGCTTCTTACCAAAATGGAAATTTCCGCGGGCAGCGTACAATTTTGGTGACATTTTTGGAGGGGGTTGGAGGGCCCCTCCCCCCCCAAAAATAGGTCTGGGTTTGGCCGAAATGTTTTGCTTTGGGGGTTTTCTGATGAAACGTTGAACAGGTTTGGAGGAAAAGAGAACCATAGAACCATGGAGCTGGAAGAGACCTTAGAAAGCCATCAAGTCCAGCCCCCTACCCAAAGCAGGACCAATCCCAACTAAATCAACCCAGCCAGGGCTTTGTCAAGCCGAGACTTAAACACCTCTAGGGATGGAGATTCCACCACCTCCCTAGGGAACCCAGCCCAGCGCTTCCCCACCCTCCTGGGGAAATAGTTTTTCCTAATATCCAACCTAGACCTCCCCCACTGCAACTTGAGACCATTGCTCCTTGTTCTCCCATCTGTCACCACTGAGAACAGCCTCTCTCCATCCTCTTTGGAACCCCCCTTCAGGGAGTTGCAGGCTGCTCCCAAATCCCCCCTCACTCTTCCCTTCTGCAGACTAAACAGACCCAAATCCCTCAGCTTCTCCTCGCAGGTCGTATGCTCCAGCCCCCGAATCATTTTCGTTGCCTCCGCTGGACCCTCTCCAATGCATCCACATCCTTCCTACAGTGGGGGGCCCAGAACTGGACACAATACTCCAGATGTGGCCTCACCAGAGCCGAATAAAAGGGAATAATCACATCTTTAAAGAGAAGCTAGATAATTTCATGGAGGTTAGGTCCATAAAAGGCTATTAGCCAGGGGATAAAATGGTGTCCTTGGCCTCTGTTTGTCAGAGGCTGGAGAGGGATGGCAGGAGACAAATCACTTGATCATTGTCTTCGGTCCACCCCCTCTGGGGCACCTGGTGCTGGCCACTGTCAGCAGACAGGCTACTGGGCTAGATGGACCTTTGGTCTGACCCAGTACGGCCGTTCTTATGTTCTTATCTCTAGATCTGCTGGCAATGCTCCTCTTAATGCACCTTAATATGCCATTAGCCTTCTTGGCTACAAGGGCGCCCTGTTGACGCATGTCCAGCTTCTCCTCCACTGTATCCCCAAGTCCTTTTCTGCAGAACTGCTACTTAGCCGGTTGGTCCCCAGCCTGTCACAATGCTTGGGATTCTTCCGTCCCAAAGGCCGGACTCTGCACTTGTCCTTGTTGAACCTCATCTGATTTCTTGTAGCCCAACCCTCCCATTTGTCTAAGGGCAAAAACGTGTCTGTTTAAAAATCCGCACCGGGATTGGGATGTTTCGACGGTGTTACATCTCTGCACTACGCACACCTGACCGCTCCCAGGCCACACGGCTCGTAGGGTCGGTCAACATGACCTCATAGACAATCACGGAGTTTAAGGCCAGAAGGGGTTACTCAGTTATCTCGTCTGATCCCTCCGTGCATCACAGGTCACCCGCACCCCCACACTAAACCCAGCCCCAGGAAACGAACCCCACCGTGCACTAGGCGGCCAAGGAATCCCGATATTTCCCGAGGCCCCACCAAACGAGGAGACACACCACCTGCTTCGCCCGCTCTCCATGGACGTCAAGACCTCGGCCAGCTCCGCCTCCAGCTGGTCTCTCTCCTGGTGGATAGCTCGCATCTCTTGCTGCAGTTTGCTCATGTACCGGTCGTAGAAGAGTTTGGTGTCGGCCTCCGAACAGGCCTGGTTCTGGCCCTGGTCTTGCAGGAGACTCCACTGGGTGGTGAGAATCTGGTTCTGTTGCTCCAAGCGCTGGACCTGTCGGACGGAATCCGGAGACGTTACGGAGCCTGCAGGCAGATTGAGGGCCGATTGCCTTTGCATTATGTCCTGGTTGTGCTAATCGGCGAGGGGCTGGAGCAATACCTGTCTATGGCAAACCCCAGCTCCCCCGTCTGCCGTGGGGGGGCCCAGTGGTGGCGGGCAGGCGGGGGGGCACTCCAACCCCGCCAGACTGGAGCGGCTCCCGGTCTGCTCCCCCTTCCATCAGCTAACTGCTTAAACATGCCTCAGCCCTGTGCTCTGCCCATTATACCACCCAGCCTCTGTTCTCCGGGCCCTGCCCAGATGAGCAGCAAAACGGCCAAGGAACGGTCCTGTGGAAAGCAACGTGCCGGGGGGAACCGAGGGGGGAACCGAATCCCAACTCTAGCTGTTCCCACGCTGTTCCCACGCCAGAGAAAGCTGGGAGGCACGGCGGAGAGCTCTCTAAAAACATCCTCTCCGTGCGCAGCGGCCGGCAAACACGCCAACAGCACGCGAGGAATCCTTCAAAGAGGCTGAGAGAATGAGACAGAGAATATCGTATCTCCTCTGTATGACTCCATGGGACGCCCACCTCGAGAATACCGCGTACAGGGGTGGTCACCTGCTCTCACAAAAGCTATCTTGGCATTGGAAAAAGGGCAACCAAAGTGATTCGGGGTTGGGAACGGCTACCCTATGAGGAGAGATTAAAAAGACTGGGATTTTTCAGCTTAGAAAAAAGGAGATGGGGTGGGGGGATATGATCGAGGTCTATAAAATTCTGACTGGTGTGGAGAAAGTGAATAAATGGAAGTTATTTACTTGTTCCCATAACACACGAATGAGGGGTCACCCAATGAAATGAATAGGTAGCAGGTTTAAGACAAACAAAGGGAAGTTTTCCTTCCTGCAGCGCATAGTTAACCTGTGGAACTCCTTGCCAGAGGATGTGGTGCAGGCCAGGACTTTAACGGGGTTCAAAAAAGAGCTAGATAAATACACAGAGGTTAGGTCCATCAATGGTGATTAGCCAGGATGGGCGGCGGGGGGTTAGGGTGTTCCTAGCTTCTGTTTGTCAAAGGCTGGGGATGGGCGACAGGGGAGGGATCACTGGATGATTCCCTGTTCTGTTCCCTCCCTCTGGGGCACCCGGCGTTGGCCCTGGGGCCCCTGGCTGCCATCACCGCTACTAGGGCCGTGGGGGCGGCCGGAGCCCCGACTCCTTTAATTCACCGCCAGAGAGCCACTCCGTGTGGCTCTAAAGACTGTGGAGGGGCCCAGCTACACAGTCCTGATGGTGCTCAGGGCTGCACGTAGCTCCGCCCCTTCTGCCTGAGGCCCCGCCCCTTCCGGGGGCGAATAGCTGGGCCCCCCTCTCCAATTTGCCCTGGGGGCTGTGGCAGCTGTCGCCTCTCCCCCACCCTCTCCGTGCAATGCACAGATCTTCGGTGCTCCCTTGCACCCGGGAGCGGGGGCCGTGCTGGAGGTGCGGTGGAACGCAGGCCCCCGCCCGTACCGGCTCATCCCAGCACGAGGGCAGTCGCTGCCTGCACGCTGGGCTGCGGTGAAGCAACCCTTTGGGGAGATTGCCATCTGTTTACAGAGCCGGCTTTGCAGGGACCTGCCTCCGGTAGGCGACTTGCTTTGAGAAACCCTCCCGCCCTCTCCGGCGTGGGAGCAGACAGACGCGGCTCTGGGGGAGAGGGGGGCGCTCGCTCTGCGGATCCACCTGCCCTTCCATCCCCCCTCCTCCGCCCCATTGCTGGCTGCTTACTCTCTCCCCTGAGAGCCCTTAGGAATAAAGCCAGGTAGGAGCTTTAGGCTAGTTCATTGATAGCCACTGCCACCCTGGTGCTCCGCCCTCTTGGTGGGCTATCTGGAGCCTGCTACCCGGAGCCTGCTACCCAGAGCCTACCTGGAGCTTACCCTGAGCCTTCTACCTGGAGCCTGCCCGGAGCCTACTACCCGGAACCTACCCAGAGCCTGCTACCCGGAGCCTACCTGGAGCTTACCCTTAGCCTTCTACCTGGAGCCTGCCCGGAGCCTGCTACCCGGAACCTACCCAGAGCCTGCTACCCGGAGCCTACCTGGAGCTTACCCTTAGCCTTCTACCTGGAGCCTGCCCGGAGCCTGCTACCCTGAGCCTTCTACCCTAAGCCTTCTACCTGGAGCCTACCCGGAGCCTTCTACCCGGAGCCTACCCAGAGCCTGCTACCTGGAGCCCACCTGCCTTGAGTCCTTCTGCTCCATCCTTTGTCCTCCTGGTCCCTGTTTGCTGCTTACCCGGGGCCGACCTTTAGGCTGGACCAACCGGGCCCCCACGCAGGGCCCTGTGGCCAGGGGGTGAGGGGCCACAATGCATGGCTGTTGCTGGGCAAAGCGGGTGGAAGCTACTGGCCGGGGGGGTGGGAGGGAGTAAGGGGGCAGGACATGGCGGAAGGACAGGGCTGGGGGCCCAGGTGAGAGGAATGTGCAGGGCTTAGGACGAAGGGGGTGCCGAGGTGGGGGGCACAGGGAGCCCAGTGCAGGGGACACAGGATGGGGGAGCCCCCGGGTGCCAGGGGAAAGGGGCGGTGCTGTGCCCACAAGGGCGCCCTTTTCCCTCCGGCCGGCCCTGGGCGTACCCCGTATTTAGGTCCCTCAGCGAACGAGTTTCCTCTTCCCCGGCGATGGGCCAAGCTCGCGGATCGGGGGGGGCGCCGTGCTCGCC